CACCAAAAAAAATCTTTATACAAAAGTGAAAGGCGGTAGACAGTTGTATTGGAATGCAGTTAGAAAAAATATTTTTTCAGTTTCCATTTTAAGTAATATAGATTCGAAAAATATGTAGTTTTTTTATGGCGCTGTTATAATTAAAGCACAAGTATACGAGATTACTTCTACATTAACATTTAATAAAGTAATACTAATAGTAAAAACTTTATTGAGTAAAATACAAGATTTGACGGAATCAAAATAAAAAAAAAACCTAACGATTCTTAAAAAAATAATTCAATAGTTTTTGTAATGTATTTTATATAATTAATATTTTAAATCAACGATTAGTTTATCCATTAGTCATCCAGATATATAGAGATGGAATGTGAACAAATAATGTCAGACAAATATAAGAACAAGGTAAAGGAAATTTATTGAAAAATCTATTTGTTTGTTGTAAAATTGTCATCCCTAACCATACGTTTCCATTGTCGAAACCCCTGTACAAAATATGTTGTCATTTCTCTGATTTTCTTTGGAAAAAAAACAGAAAAAACAGTCATATTTGTATCTGTTTTGACAAAAAGCGCAATTCACGTTTAAATTTTTAACGCTATTAAATATTTATCTGACATTTTTTGAAACGCAAAATAAAACAAATTATTTTTCAAACTATTGATATGTCGCCGTAAAATCAAAATTTTTATAGATATAAAAAATGTACTTCTGAACATTTAAAAACAAACAGAAAAGTTTTTACGTAATACGATATCAATTTAAATTTTTCCTAACTCTAGGAAGCCTGTTTACCATAATGGATGAAAGTGGAATTTATTATAAGTTTGTTAGAATTAGCTAACGCGCACCATTCCCAGGAAGAACATCTCTTGAAACTCGTTTTCCTGGAAATATTAATAATTATAAATTAAAAAAATAAGCAAATGCCGCTAGCGACAGTCATCTGTCAATTTTTTATACGTCATTCTAGATTTAGAAAAAAAAGTAATCATTTTTTGTGTAATAATTTATGGAGTATATTAAAAAAATACTTATTTTTTAATTTTTGAGTTAAATTTGACAGAAGTCATTGCTATAATTACCGTCCACGGAGCATTTTGTATATAATATTTGTATATCTGTGGTACAAAAGACAGTTTTACCCCAATTAGAACATTTCAAATATGGGCAAAAGCATCAAAGACAGCCGCATACCATAAAATGATTTTTATTTACCAACTGCTTACTGTAAATTTAATACCTTTGCAAAGTCCCTAGTACTGCATATGACATCAATGTGCCTGCACTTTGTATCTGTACACCAGCACGCTCGCCACGCCCACCAGCAAGCTGAGCAGCAGCGAGCCCCACACTAACATCTGCAAAAAAAAAATCTTTCATATAATATTTTCTTCTATAACACGACTCCTTTAGTGCTGAATTAAAATAGGAGCCTGTAATATGCGTGCGTACACCAGCTACCTTCCCATCAAATTAGTTCCAGCCATTCCGGAGAATACCAGGTGTAAACATGATCTTGTGGACAACAAGACGGATATACCTTATTTTATTCAAAATTTGGTTCTTTGTTACCTTGAAAAAACATCATGTGTACAAAATACGATTTTTTATATTACATACAGATACGTTTTTATACAAAGATACAATGATTTTTCTATGAATATTAATACCTTAGCCCTGGATGGTTTCTTATCGGGTGCGGCTCCAGGTTTGGGACTCGCGGTGCCCAGCATGCGCTTGGCGAGGCGTCGCTCCACGGACCTATCCCTGGTGGCCTTCTGCTCACAGCGCTGCAGCTCCCTGCGCGCCCCCGCGTCCCCAGGCGCAGCACCTGCAGCCGCCCGCGCCGCCTCCAGAGCCTCCGCGTTACGACCCATTGCAGACAAGATGCGGGACTTGCGGTATAAAGCTTTTGCATTCTTCGGCTGGCACGATAGCACTCGAGTTACGGCCTGGAATCAATTGGTTCATCATCAATGAGGATGGTTTCTCTACTTTATTTCGGGTTTACTGCATCCTAAATTTTAGAAATACCTGACTCGGAGACATCTTTTCATGTATTTGTCATATATTATCATAAGCATAATATATTCATATTATACCTGTAGTGCAGCATCAAAAGCGCCAGCTTTCAATTGAGCGGCGGCCATGTTGTTATGCACTCGGAGACGTTCTTCCAGCAGTTCCTGCAATGCATCTGAAGCTTGTGCCAGCTCGCCAGAGGGTGTGGGATCAGTGATGCCCCCCTCACTCTCGTCCAACACATCAAGTGCACGCCGGTACAGCTGTATCGCTAGTTGTGGTTCTCCGCGACCATACCACCAGTTGCCACGGGTACGACGACGAATACTAAAGAAAAAAATGTATAGTTCATGGTATGTCAAATGGCATCTCACTTTTTCAATCAAACTTGACTTCAGGTCACAATAGAAATATGAATGATGATATGAGCATATGAATATCTTAAAAATCATTGTCAAACAACAAAATAGGTAATTTCTTTATACTTTTAGTGCACACAAGTTATTATTAGAAATATTAATATAAAGCTTTAAAGCAAATTCTTAAGTTTAAATTTAAGACTCATTATTGTTATCAAACGTCATACATCACATATTCCCATTAGCATTGTGTAATAAGTAATATAAACATTGATAACAACTGAACTCTGTCTCAAGTCCTATAATTTATTTGATAAACAATTACAATTAATTTCTCACACTCTACTTACCCAAATCTTACTAATATATTACTTATAATATTATAAATGTGAATGTTTACATAGACATATGTTAGAAGGTATCTCAAGAATGATTGCATGGATCTTGCTGAACACATAGGTTACTAATTAAGTTTTTTTTTTAATTTCCGCACAGACATAGTTACGGGCAACAGCTAGTAAGTGATATATAATCTAAAATATGATGAAGGTCACAACTCTATCTTTATTTTTAATAAACATTAGACCTTGACCTCATTTCTAAAAGGTTCAAAAGTTATGTGGACAAAGCATAAAAACTATATATTCAAATTGCTTTATCTTATTGTAACATAAATTCAATTTACAAGTTAAATGTTAAATAATCAAGTTAAATATAAAATCAATGACACATGTGTGAGTTAAAATTTAAATTCAATCACAAAACTTTGTTAATCAAGTGACAATGAACTGTGAAACAAATAATACGGCCTTGACACATTTTACATCAACTATATACAAAAACATTAGGCTTCCACTGATAAAATGTTTTTCATTCATCTTATTTTCTCCTTGAAGAAATCAAAACTATGCTTTAAGACATGTGTTTGGACCAGGAATGTCCACCACTCAAGACTGATTATGACAATAGAATTTTATAGTCAAGAGTTATATTAAATGTGTTATTTACATACCCTATTTCCATCCTCTCTGCTATAGAAAGTGTCTCATGCTCTGGCTCTTCAGACCAGTCATGCAGTTCAAGCTTTGCTTCAAGCCAAGTATCAGGTCCTATGACAGAACCATCATATTTTGGTCCATCAGCTTCCCCTATCAAACCCAAGCTCTCTCCAGGCTTCAAGCCAGATTCTCCATAACCAAAACGTGGAGCCAAATGGAGGTGACATGCTTCTCCTTTGTACATAAGAGTCAGTGCTAAGTCCAGACCTTGAAGAATCTAAAATATATAAATATAGTTAATTGTGGTAAGAAACAGTATTGATAAACAAGTACATTTCTACAAAAGAATATATAATAGAATAAAGCAAGTCTTAGTTCCAGAATTCTAAATATAAATAAATATGTATAATTTGTATAAAGTTATTATCATCTAATGTTATCCTTTAAAATCCTAAAAGCACAGACAAAGGAACCATACAAACATAATCACTGTTAAAATGATAACACTATTATTATTTGTTTTATTAGAAATGGATGACAAGCCTCAGCTTTTATTATGATAAGTCATTACAAAATGTAGCACATGTTTACTTACTTCATTGTCCCCTACGTATATTTTAATCTGATCTCTCTTTTCAAAATAATGTTCATTGCTGTCCTTGATTTTAATTTCGTAACTTATTCTGCAAATGTCGCCTCTATGTGGTCTCAAACCTTCGGAATCATCACCTGATTTTATAATCTGCCAAAATATTTTCAATAAATAACCAAGAATACACCAGCATAAATGGACACTTCAAGATATTTACTTTTTTAAGAAGTGCACCAGATCCTAAAAGATCTTGCCATTCGTCTTTTTGCGTCTCAGCGGACTTTTCTTTCTCCGCTGCCGCCGCCTCGGCTAACTTTGCCTCTTCAATTTCATGAGCTGCTGCAGACGCCAGGTCCTCAAATGAGCTACTCTCCGACTTGTCCACCAAAGGCTTTTCTCCTTCGCTCATCTGAAAAAAATCTCGTGATTTGCGTGTTAAATAAAGGACGTAAATTAATGATGATTTTATCAAAGCTAAACTTTCATACCGATAGATCTAATCTCGTAAGTGAATGTTACTAAAAGCAAATACGCACCTTCAAAATTTATATCACAAGTAAAATAGTTTATATTCTTAAAGAATCAATAAATTTCACACATTACAATATTTATGTATATCAAAATACGTGTACAAGATGACACTTCAACTTTCTGGAGTGGATTGACTTTTTGTTGACGAATTGTAATGAATGAAATATAAAATTGCAAATGAATGAATTTGTGATTTGAAAATCAAAATGTCAAAAACCCTGCGGCGCAAAAGCACAGAATATATCCACAGGCACAGATTAACTTTTAAGTACTGGAAGTAGATCGTGCAATAAAACCTGACAAAATACTACTAGTTATTTTTTTTTTACTTCCGTTAACCTTGCCAATATTAGAGATGTTTTAATTTGTTAATTAATTTAAATAATAAAAATGGGCATTTCAAAGTAATCTGAAACAAAACGAAACAAACCCTTGACCTGTTTTGATCTATGTTTTTTTATAATAAACTGTCAAAATCAGAATACTCTAAAAATTCTGAAACTGAATTTTCCTATAATAAATTTCTGAATTGATTGTTATAATAAAAAAAAAAACAATAATACAGGGATCTAGTTTTAATTACATACTTTTGTACAGATATACATTATCGCAAACTGTGTTGCTGACTGGCTGAAATAATTGAAAAGGCCTTTCATTTATACAATCCGTAATGCAGAAATACGAAAAACTTGAGAAAATTGGGGAAGGAACATACGGAACCGTATTTAAAGCAAAAAATAAAGAAACTCACGAAATAGTAGCATTAAAACGTGTGAGGTTAGACGACGATGATGAAGGTGTTCCGTCATCTGCCCTACGCGAAATATGCCTTCTCAAAGAACTTAAACACAAGAATATTGTTCGTCTTTACGACGTTTTGCATAGTGAAAAGAAGTTGACTTTAGTATTTGAGCATTGTGATCAAGACTTAAAAAAATATTTTGATAGTCTTAATGGGGAAATCGATCTAGATGTGGTAAAGTCTTTTATGTATCAATTACTTAGAGGCTTAGCATTTTGTCACAGTCATAACGTTTTGCACCGTGATTTGAAGCCACAGAATCTCTTGATTAATAAAAATGGTGAGCTTAAGTTAGCCGACTTTGGCTTAGCAAGAGCTTTTGGTATTCCTGTTAAATGTTACTCGGCAGAAGTGGTCACTTTGTGGTATAGACCACCAGATGTGTTGTTTGGAGCTAAGCTATATACCACAAGTATTGATATGTGGTCAGCAGGATGTATTTTTGCCGAGCTGGCAAATTCTGGCCGACCATTGTTCCCTGGATCTGATGTTGATGATCAGCTTAAAAGGATTTTTAAATTACTTGGTACGCTACCTTTTTCATTACTATATTATTACTTTAAATTAAGTAACAACTCTGTTGATGTATAAAAATAGCATTTGATTTTATTAATAACTTTTATAAAAAATATTTTGATGAATTAAATATTATAGGAACACCAAATGAAGATACATGGCCGGGTGTGACACAGTTGCCAGATTACAAGCCTTTACCAGTTTACCAGCCTAGCTTGGGCCTCGCTCAAGTTGTTCCCAGGCTACCAGCCAGGGGTAGAGATCTGTTAGCCCGGCTGTTAACATGTAACCCAGCGTTAAGAATGCCTGCTGATGATGCCATGGCTCATGCTTACTTCCATGACCTCAATCCATCTGTAAAGAACGACAGATGTTAACAATCAATACACCCGTACAAATGTACATCAGAACTATTATTTAGTGATAAAGACAATGAAGTGCAAGAGAATTGTGATGGAGAAAATTAAGTGATGTGTATATTTTAGAAAGTGTAAATTATTAATTTATTGAATAGTTGTTTAATAGGAATGATGCAATTATTAGTGTAGAGTTTGCATATTCTTAAGTTCAGTTTCATAAGCCAAAGTAATATGAGCCATCATGGTGTACTGCTGTGGAGGGTACATAATAATTGCATAATTATAAAAATTGTAATTGTTTGATATTATAATATAGTTAACTGTAAATTAAATAATTTCTTATATTTCTAATACTAACATTGTAGTGATTCTTTGTCATTTGTTTAGCTTCTTAATATGACATTCTTTTACAAAAGTAATAACAAAGCTTTGTATGCATAGTAAATTTCTTAACAAAATATAATAAAAACCAGAGTTGATAAATAGACTGGAAATTAGGAATACTGATTTAGAACCTACTATTGACTTGAAGCTGAGAAAGTAGACCTGCGTGGAAACATTTACTTAACCAGACCCAGGCCCACCTACAGCTGTAGTGCCTCAGATGATGATGATTGACTTAAATTGCGACCAGATCACCGATAGATATATGCAACAGCTGCATCCTTGTGGTCAAAAAAGACCAGCATAAAATCTCATATCATTCTCTTTGATTTCAATGTTATAGGTCAAATTCTTTACACTACTTATAAATTTAAAGTTCAATAATTCAAGAAATAGCTGCCATTTTTTATCTTTTGACTTTATAGTGAAGTCAATTGATAAGTCTTACTTAATAAAAATCTTAATATAATAGCTATTTGCTCATAGTTGTGATCTCATTACATTTTATAAACTTTTATATTGAATACATTTCAATTCATGACTGTCAGTCTATAAACTACTGTATAATATATTTAGGATATTTTAAGATTAAAGTGATTGTATTTAACTTGAAATAAATATTTATTATTCGGTGTGTAAATTTTATGATTTCATTCATATACAAAAAAATATATGAATTAGAAAAACCCAGACAAATTAAATAATGTTCTTCTTTAAAGATAAAAATCTAAATTACAAAATTTTAAACCTTTGGCTGGCCAACATTAATATAGTTATCTGATCTACAAAAATATATTGTTTGACTAAAATGACCATAGATTATGTTCCTTTTTTCACATTAAAATGTTCAGAGGATACAACATGGATTAATAATATAATTTATACTTAAAAACATTTTATTTACAATTATATTCTTGAAGCACTTTTTAAGCTAAAGTCTTATTTTAGGTTGTTTTACTAACTTACAATATTTATAAATTTTTTGTCACTTATACAGAACTTCTAAAGAAAATAGCAATATTGATAATATGATAATGTTATTCAGAACATTTCCATTTCAGCTCTTTTTCGTTTTCTATGACTTGCAACCATATTAGCAGTACTCAATGGACAGTCACCCCTCTGCAGCCACAGTGATAAAGCCTTTTCAGTCACTGCAGCAGCTGCTGTTCGTTCCCTTTCACTTTCTGATAATGGTTGCAATGAACTAATGGAATCAGTTGAACAACTTGCAGATAGTATCATGCGAAATCTTTGCCTGAAAGTCTGAAATTATATAAAGAGAAGTTTTAATGATTACTTATTTGAAATACTTATGATAGTTCCATAAAGAAACAAACATATATATAATGCTCAAGAAATTAAGAAATAAAATTCACATTTCTCACTTCTAATCACTAAAAAAAAGTTTGTTTAAACTTTGATTCTGTTAGTTTTGTTTTGATTCTGTGAAGGTATTATAGTCTAAATGGCTTATGGGAGAAGTTTGCAACTTGAGACCTTCTGTTATAAGTAAAAGCTCCCAACTCACATTTAAGTATCACTCTTAGTTGTCTCTCAAACATTTGTTAATGGGGATAAGAAAACAAAAATGCTTACATTAATCAGTGTATTAGCAACTTCACCCTTAATATCATGTTTCGCTATATAACAGCCAAGTTCATAAAAATGTTGTCCTAATTTATGCAAGTCTACTGTACATGCATCTGCATTGAGTATCTCTCTGTATGCTTCCTTATATATTTTTGGAAGGTCGACACTAACCAATGGAGGTTTTCGGAAATATAAAGACTCCGCTAGCCAGAGAGGTATTTCTACATTTGTTCCCAATTTTAAATCATCTTCAGTTGATGAAGGATCCAAGAATCCTAGAAGTAACAAAAATTACCACAATATTCCCAACACTGAAGATATATGACTTACCAGAAAATGTTCTTAAGTTAAGTCTTACCCATTTTAGGCAAATCGTGTAGAAATTTACAAGGTATTTTTTCGTTAGTTACCAATATATCCGATATTGACAAATAATTCGATTGCCGAGACATACTAGTGTTTAATTGAGTCAATGCAACTTAAACAGTGTTTAATTGTTGTGATAATTTGAAATTACAGGGCAAAAATTTTGATATTGGAGTGGAAACTGGAAATTATCAGTTTAAAATTTGTATATTACAAAAAATTCAAACAATTTACATTATTGTCAAAGTCAAAAAATGTTCAAATGTCATTTTGCTAAGAATCCCAGTGTTCATTACCCCGTAAAATATTAAGCGAACAAAGATGTCAAAATAGAATCTTGGTAATCTTACAAAATGTGTTTTTACATAACCGAATACATATTATTATCTCGATTATAAATTAACGCATATTTATTTCACCTTTTCTTGAGTTTTTCCTATTTTGGAGAAATGTTTTCTGCTGTCAAATATTACCTTTAATTTTATACTCTTTATCAGTGCGTCGGTTTCGTCGGTTTCATTTATTCATTTTTGTTGTTGTTAAAGTTTTTCCATCGTATTCGTGTTGTGACTTGTGATTAGAGATTGATTATTAAATTTGCTAAATTGTACTATTTTCTTATTCTTATTCTGTATTTTGATCAAATTGTTTGTGACTTTTCTTTTCTAATATGCAGTAGTTAAAGCACATAGTTTAATCAATCGTACTAATATATAGAACCCGGTATCAAGGAAAAACCCTCCAAAATGTCGGGGTGAGTTCATAAATTCATAAAATTGCAATGTTAAAATAATATAATTTCTTTTTTTGTAAAATGAATTTATTAAAACTTCAATTTCATGGATAAAATAGTTACGACGTCATGTTTCGATTTTTTCTTATACCTCTTGTTTTTAATTTTTATATACCTCTTTTGAGTTGATGAGCATGTATATTATTGTGTAATCAATAATAAATCATAATTTTTTTCAATAAATTTTAAATAATTTTTATTTTCAGGAAAGCATATACAATTAAAGAAATGAAAGCCATTGTGGATTATTTGACAGAACACAAGGCTTACAATGAAATAAGGGGTAGAAAGATGTGGATGGATTTTGAAAAATCAAAGGTAAGTCATAGTGTTCATACAAAGCCTACATACATTATTGATGATAATTTGCCTCATAGCATTGTTGAAATTCAATTCTTATTTATGATGTTATTTAAGCCTTATAATTTTTTTATTGTTCACACCATTAATACTGGAAACATAAGAAAAAATATAGGTTCTAGCAAATTCACTTGGTATTAATTTTTTCAAGTATTGTGCTAAGCTGAATACAATGTTAGGTGAGGTATTGTAAAGATATACAGGGAAGGGGTTGATACTGCCCTGTAATTAAAAATAATTGTCAGTGATGGATGTCCTAGTTGTTTTGTATTACTATTTTTTTTTAGGTAATAGATAGAACTTGGCAAAGTTTGAAAGAAACATTCCTAAAGCGTATTCTTCCTGATATTCACAATCCATATTATCAATTGTCAGTGATACAGATCAGCAGTTTTAGAAGTGGGTAAGTAGGAATAACAATATGCAGCAATTATTATTTGATTTTAATCAATATTTCCAATTAGCACTTTTTACTCAATACTTGTAAAATGGCAAGTTTACAAATTCAAATTTTTTATCATTGGTATCATTTTTAAAAATAATATTTAACATTTCTAAGTCTTGGTATTTAATATTTAAGGTATGATGTAGAAGCAAAACTCAACAATAAACTAGAAATTAGGACTGTAGATGAAGAATCAAACACAAATAGTAAGTGTATTATTTTTAATTCTAAATAAAGAAGTCCATTACATTTAAATAATCAATATATATGTTATAAAATACTTTGATTATAATTTTTAGTTGAGCAGGAAATAAATTCAGAAAATCCTAGTACAAGCAATGGTAATGCAAGTGGAAAGAAATCAGGTGAGGAACAAAAAAATACAAAAACCATATCACAGCATAGATCATCAGCTGAAACTATTGTACTGGATACTTGTTACAATACTGCTGAAGATATACAAAAAGAATTAGAAGGTAAAAATGATGAAAAGAAAAATAGCAGCCAAACAACACAAAAATCATTGCGCGATTTCATAACATATTCAGAACCATTGACTCCAATGCTACAAGAAGTAATTGATGATTTTGCTACCGATGAAGAGTCTGATTCTGGTACTAGAATGGAAATCGTGGAAGATGTCAAAAGTGAGAAAATATCTGAAGTCAATAGTGAAACAACTGACGCCCCTATTGATATAAGTTCAAATACAGAAGATGATTGTAATGAAATAGAATTACCGCATCAATCTGAACAAAACAATGAAAACAATCAAGATAGTGTTGCAAAAGAGAAACAAGAACAAATTAAGACAGGGCAAGTTACACAAAATGCAACGGAAACGTCAGTTCAGGAAATCTCATCAACTGAAGTTATAAATGTCCAAAGCAGTAGTGACATTGCTTTAGAACAAGTTATTATTGAAACAGACAAACACACTGAAGAAATTACAACTTCAAATAATGAAGAAAATATCGGAACACAACCTAAACAAGACAAATCTGAAAGTACTAAAAATATTGAAGAGATTGCTATGACTCAAAATACAACTAATACAACTGACTCAACAATTCCTAATAATCAAGAAGCTTTAAATACACAATCCGAAATGGTTAGTCAAAACAAAGAAAAGGAGTCTAAAAGTACTGAGAATGACAAAGAAATAGCATCCAAACGTATTAAAGAAAATAAAGAAATGCAATTTAAAAGTAATGATTCAAATAAAAGGAGAAGGGCAAGTTCTCAAGATCCAATAGCTTCAAAAGATAAAAGACGTTTAATTAAAAATTCCAAACCTGTGTCAGTATCTGATACCGATGCTGGAATAATTAAAAAACAAAAAGTAAATGGCAATTTCCAGCCAGAGACAGAGAGATATACAAAGCCGAAAGCAAAAAAAATAAAAACATCAGATATAGAAAAAGAAATTATCACAGATAAAAATACAAAGGAATTAGAAAATGTTATAGAAATCAATGAGGAAGAAGAGAAGGAAGAAGTTTCAGTGCCAACTGAAATTATAACGAAAATACATGTTGCGGGGAATATTAGTCCAGAGATTGAAAATCCGTGTTTAAAAAGTGTTAGCTTGTATGATGAAGAGTTTACATCGGCGAAATATAGCGAATCAAGTGACGCCGGTGTAGCGCCGGACAAAGAAACTGAACAAAAAGTGAAAAAGAAAGAAACCAACAAAAATAATTCGGATAATGAAATCTTACAGTATACATCACACTCAGAGTCAGAGAGCGGTGATAAAACGCCACCGGTACGCACAGTTCCCATTAAACCTGAAAGAGAAAAAACTTTAGATAATGTATTTGGATTTACTAGCGGTAAGTTATATAGGCTATCAGTGTGGCATGGCTCGGTTAACTAAGTACAAACTATTTAGTTCATAAAGTTTTGTTTTTTTTGACATATATTACTTGTGGGTTGAAAATAATTGTGATTAAATTATTACGAAAATAATTATGATTTTCAGTTAGGATTTAAAGCAGACATTATCTATGCATTCACAGTGGTAGAGCCCGCTTTAACATGTTCGCACGTATTGGCCCGGCTCGCCCGGTGAAATACCACGACCACACAGAAGACAGGCGTGAAGTGGGAGCAACTCCGCGTACAGTCTGATGAGTGTGCGTCCCGGAGGCCAAATTTAGTCCTCTTTCCCTTCCCACCCTTTTTCTTATAAGGAAGGGTTGGGAAGTGGATGTGGACTTTCCGGATGAAAGGATGCATGGAAAGAGAAAATATTTTCTTTCTGTGCATCCTCTCCTCCGTCGATTAAAGGTAGGCAACGCATATGCAATTGCGTATGTCTATGGGCAACGGTTACTTCGCTATTTCAGCGATTTCAGGTGGCCGCTCGCTCGTTTGCCACCTTATGAAATAAAAAAAATGCATATACATTTTTTTTCTATAGCTGATAATAAAATATTAAAGTAAAATTTATATGATCGACAGGTGTGCACATTTTAATTTGGTCTTGAAGCTTAATTTTTTTGTAATTTTGCCTAACAATTTGGTTGCTTGTTTGCATTTAAATAAATATGTATTCATACTTTTCACAATAAAATGACAATAAAATTTTTCCTTTTTTTAGGTGCAAAAGCGCATGGCCGTAAAAGACGCAAAAGTAGTCGTAAATCAGCACCTCGGCATTCACGGTAAGATAATAATGTTAAAAAAAATTATGGATAAAAAGAGGGATGTATGGAGGAATAGTAAATACTGTTCCGGCCCTCTGTAGGGATAAGGGCTGGTTCATAATGATAGATAAAAAGTAGCCAAGGCAATTCTATTCCCTATTCTTATGAAAATCCCTTTTCTTTAAACAAAACGGTGGAAAAGGGACGACTAGACTGTACTGTAGCATTGTATTTTGCAGGGGACAAATATGTTACTGTCCGTCCCTCCTCTGTCTTTTAAAGATAGGCATTGCATCTACTAACTTACCTCGTTGCAAATGTTTTTGCGTAGCGATCACTTCGCTATTTTAGCGAAAACATGTAGCTCTTGCAACTTGGCTACCTGTTAAAATGATATAAATTATATTTTAAATTAAATATATGCAATTTGATAACAGAACCGAATTATTGAGTTGCGGCTCAGGTGATTGGACTTCAGTGAGTGAAGCCGACAGTGATTCCTCGCAGCGTCGACGAAAGTACAGACATTCCAAAACATATTTGTAAATAACTAATTAATAATTAAAAAAAATAATTTGCATCAAAAACAATATATAATAAATATTATTTGTTACACAGAAAACCAAAATCAGCCCGATTATTTTCTCTGGAAGAAGATGGAGGCACTTTATTTCTAATGTATGGAAATAAAGTATACCCAGTAGTAAAAGATGGGAAAGTAGTCAAAAAATATGTCAAATTCGCGCAGGATCGTAAGTATTTTGTAACAAAAAACATCTATACGCGAGAATCGTTATTCGGTCCGGACGAACGACCTCCAAAAGCGAGAAACTCGGTTGAGAGAGAAATCTCTACGAGCGAGAGGAATATCACGCTTTTGAACTCTCGTTTATCCAAGTTCAACTGAATTTTGTTTCAGAATTTGTTAATAAGATACCCGATATTTATGTTATCTTACTAACATTATGAATGCAAATGTTTAGATAGATGCATGGATGGATGGATGTTTTTTTGAAGGTATCTCCAGAACTGCTATACGTATCGCGATGAAATTTGACATACATATAATAAGTAGTCTGGAAGAGCACATCGGCTACTAATTATGTTTTTTTTTATTTCCGCGCGGACGGAGTCGCATGCGAAAACTAGTAATTTTGTAAAATTCTTTTCGCTATGGATACTTTTATATTTATATATTTTATTTCTTTTAATGGCCATACTTTATTTACAGGCGATTCAGCTAGCGAAGACGAGTCTTATTGGAAACTGAAATATATGCAAGAAAAGAAACGAACAGCTCAATTGACTAAGTAAGTTTTTTGCCATTGTTTTTTTTTTTAAATTACTAGACGCAATTTTAATTCGTAATCTTCTTACTTATATATGCGAATGTTTGGATGTATCCGAATGGACGTATGTTTGTTAGAACGTATCCCCAGAATGACTGCATAGATCTTGCTGAAAATTGCCATTGATGTAGAACATTGTCTAAAAGCTAATATGGCTACTGATTAAGTTTTTTTTATTAAAAAATCATACAGACATATTGTAAATCTCCTACTTTTGGATCGTTAAATAATTTATACTTCAAATGACTATAAAATATTAATTGTTTTTTAACTTACAGATTACTCAATGAGTCAGAAGAGAACACAGCTACAAATGAAAGATGTCAAGATATTGATCTAACAGAAGCCAGTCCACCAAAGTAAGTAGATTTATTGTGTCTTTAATAACAAATTTATTTTAACACATTCCATGCTACTACGATTTTCTCTCCAGGCGAGTCAACGGTATTGAACAATTTTTCTTTATTTTTATAAGGACTTTCGTATAAATATATTATAACTAGAAATATAAGAGAAATATTTTCAATTCTTATAAGGCCTTTAATTAACATATGCAGCAAATAAAATAATTTTTTGTCTAATTTTAAATCATTTTTGTATTGTTACAGAAAACAAAAGATGTCAATACCACATACGGAAACGAAACCTGGAAGTTCTGGTATGTATTTAAATAAAGGTTTTAATAATCCACTTATAGAGTCGAGTCTCGATGAGCTAGAAACATCTATAAGCAAGAGTCTCTGTCCGGTCCCTACGGTCGACCATAAGCAAGAAACTTGAGTAGAGAAACCTCTATAAGCCAGAGAAATTCACGGTCTTTTAGACTTTCGCTGTTGTAGGTTCAATCTTATTTATATTATGAATGCGAATGTTTAGGTGGATGGATGGTTGTTTATTTGAAGGTAACTCCGGAATGGTTGAACGGATTTCGATTAAATTTGGCACATATGTAATACTTAGGCTACTTATAAAGTTTTTTTAATTCCGCGCGAGCAAGAGCTAGTTGTACATAATGACAGTCTCATGTTTATTTTTTTTTTAGCAATGCAAGAAAATATACCAAATGAACCTTCCCCGGAGGTACAAAAGGACCCAGTGTTACCAACGGCGTCAGTAGTTCAAAATAAGACGGTTAAAATAAAAATTACTAAACAGAATGAGGTATGTATGAATAAATATATAAATACCATAAAATTTCTTTCTACTATATTTTTTGGTAACTATTTAAAAAAAAATTATAAGATTTTCTTGTTTTTTTTTATTTTGTTTTTTCGTATTAAAAGTGAATTGGCCAGCTGAGTTACTGGCACTAATTTTAACATTATCCAATTGTTTTTTTTTTCAGGAAGTAGAATTAGAAGGTCACTGGTCACAACTGCACCCGGTCCTGGATCATGTGGTTCAAATATTCCACAAGGAGGTTGAACCTAAATTGGATACAAAATCTTTATCCTCAGAACAATCCAAAGTCTGCCTTAGTGGACTGTCTACCCCAATTATACCACACATAGACCAAGGTATGTTGTTCAATATCTTACTAATATTATAAATGCGAATGTTTAGATGGATGGATGAATGGATGTTTGTTATCTTCGGAACGGCTCAACTGATCTTGATGAAATTTGGCATATATGTAAAACATACTCTGGAAGTACACATAGCCTATGTATTACGTTTTTTTTAATTTCGTGCGGACGGAGTCGCGGGCGACAGCTAGTAACATATAATCCAATGTCTTCCGTATTAAGCAATGGAACATTTTTGTTAGGCTTTTGGCGGACTAAAAGCAAAATAATTATTTAAAATAGCTTAAATTGTTGCATTGATTTTGAGGAGAAGTGTCATTCGATTCGTCTTTTTCACTGGTCGATGAGGATTGTTAAATTTTCAAAATTTATTGAAATTAAAAGAATAATAATGTTCGAAAAATAATAGATTCTATGTTCATAAACATTTGCAGCAGCGCATGAAAAAGTGAGAAAATTGGAAACGGAGATATTTCAAGAGATCGAAGCTCGTCACCAAGAAAATGAAGGAAGCGTCACTCCACAGTCTACATCCACTGATATCTCTAAAGTCAACACGAGGTATGCACTTTATATGTAAATCAGAAAACGCAATATTTATCACACACCTATTTTTTCATGATCAGCTCACTATACGTCCCCACTGAGGGGCTCGGAGCCTACCATAAGTTAGGGGTGACTAGGCCATAGTCAACCACACTGACCCAGTACGGGTTGGTTTATTTCACACATATCTTTGAATTTCTTCTCAGATATGTGCAGGTTGCATCACGATGTTTTCCTTCCTGAACGTCGGATAAATGTACATATGAAAATCTGAAATCGAAAAACTCATTGGTACATGGCGAGATTCGAACCCAGGGCCTGAAGATTACAAGTCAAGTGTTAAAACCCCTGAGCCACGGACTCGCTCTATTATTTAAACTATTTTTTAAACTTCATTAACTTTTATTCCATAAATCATAGAAGAGGACGACCAAAACGAAGTAAAATGTCAATAGAAAGTGCCCCATCGACACCTGATGTGGATAAAAATGAGTCAAAAACATTTAATAAAGCGGAGAAAGAACAAAATTTGGAGAAAATGGCTTCAGGCGATGTTGAAAATGAAACATCCCCTAATACTGTAGCAAGACGGGTGACAAGAACATCCAAGAATGCACTACGCGGTGAGTGAAACTTGGAATTGACTAATTACTGCTGAATATGTTGTTAAATAAACACTAAGGGTAACCTTGCAAGCAATGTGCTGTATTTGAGGTACAGTCGCGAAAATCCGCGGTGTCCCACTTACAAAAAATTGCCTTGCACAAATAACAAATTAAGTAGCAGTGAGTTGCGCAAACGACGGGATAATTAGTCGAGTACTTCGTCTTCATCTCAATGTGTACAAAACGTTCAAACAACTAAATTTTAAGATTGAACACCGCCAGAATCCCCGACTGTACTTAAAGTCTCTTTTAATGAAAATACAATTTTCCTATGTTGTAGACAGCACCGATAAAAGTGAAACTAAAATAAATACAAGAGGGAAGAAAGGTAAAGAGCTGATCGCTCAAGTAGCAGACGAAGATCCCAATGTTAGATACAAGTTCCCTTCACCGCCGCCATCTAAAAAGAGCACGAGATCCTCCGCCAGTAAAACAACGAAACTTACAAAAACTAAGAATAGATAGTGAGTAGTGATATCAATATCTACATGAATATTACGATCTGTTCATTTTAACATACTATTATTTGAATACTGTTAGGAAGAATCCGACACAGTGCCGGTGTACTGGCGCAACACTAACCTTACCAAAATGTCAATGATATCCCCTCACTAATAATTCTGTCTATTCACTTTGTAACTAAAGCGCGCCATTCGCGCAAATGATTCTAACTATTTTTTTCTAAAATTAGGGAATGTTTTAAATTACAATATTTTTGCTCAAAAGCTTATAAAGTTGAATCAAACGATCATTGATCGACAGTAGTTCTTTTACAGTTTTCTTGGAGTCCCTTTCAGATTTTATAAGTTTCAGTAAACCCTCTTGTCTTATATTTTCTTCTCAACTAAAGAGCTCTTTTAACCCCGGAATTCAATGAACTCTAGGGGGTCCAACTGGATCACTTTGTCAATCACTGTTCTTCTTTTCTTAAGGGTTTCTAACTTATTTAATATTAGGAATCTTTTTGATATTCGTGATAACTATCCAAACATTAAATGATTTAATACTTATGCATTTTCTCTGCCTTACCGCGGGTTTCTGAGTCCAACATCTCTGTACAAAACATATCGTCATTCTTGTCATTGTTGACAAAACAGAGATAACAATATGTTTTAAATGGAGTTTTACGTCTCGGAAACCCACGGTTACAGATTAATCTGTTTATTGGTGGAGTCCGTGTATATTAATTTTTATTCAAAAACTTTCCCTTTTTATAATTTCTTGAAATACATATCAATGGTCTGATCTGATTATTTTTTTACATTCATGAATTATCTCGTTTTGTTTTTTAAATTATGGTAAAATGAACAGGACTTTATGAAACATTTGAAATATTTACATTTTGAGAATGTTTTTTTTTTAATGAAAACATTTACTGAATTATTATATACATTTTATTTAAGTACACGATGAAATTTAAAATTGTATAAAAAATATCTTTTAAAATAACATACAATGAAATAGTACAATATGTACATTAAATAATTAGTAATACAAAATCATATTTATGTATTATCTTTTGTATTTTACTGTGCATTTATATATTTAAGATCTTTGATAATTACATGATAAAAATATAATATGTCATATTTTTTAGAAATTAGGAATTAAGTATCGATGTCGAAATATGTAGAATGGTTTATGTTTGTCTGAATGGGAAAATGTGTGTATTTGTGTCAAATAAATTGTTTTAGAATCAAATTTAATTTTATTTTCACAACATATTTTATTTTAAAATCTAAGCATGTTATATCTAAAAGCTTTTTCTACTCTTATGCAATTTATATATTGAAAGAAAGGAAGTATGAGTGAGTTTATGTTTTGAAAGTTAACACCCATGCTGCATTTTTAGTATGAAAGTGCACTTGCCAGGCCAGTCGGTACTTTAAGTGTTAAGAAATTGATTGAACGAGAATTTTATAATATTGGCATGATTACAGAAGTGTGCATGATTTTTCTGAATATTATGCTATTTCGTAACTTAAGTGTGATCGCTTTTTTAACTTACTTATGCAACGCACAGTAAATATTGGCTTGATATAATATACATAAATTTATTTATTATCATTTCCATGCTATCAATACTTCACTGATTGTAATTATTTTTTTTATAAATTATGTTGAGAAATTTTGAGCTTTATAGGTTAAAAACTTATTTAGTAGGTTATGTGTTCTTCCAAACTATGATCTACATCTGTGCCATCTTTCAGCTTAAATCATGCAACCTGATACCTTCTAACAAACATCTATCCATCCAAACATTCGCATTTATGATATTACTAAGACATTTTTATCAAATTGGTCCTGAGTTCTTTGTATTATTTTCGCTTTCAATTTTTATTCACGCATGCATTTTTTCGGAAGGTTTTATAATTTTGTGACACTCATACGCTTTATCTGCTTGTTCGCATGCCATAACCAATTTTTTCATATTTAACAGCGTCAAAACTGCAGCACCTTCAATGGATAACATAATATTAAACACTATAGAAAGCAGCCAAGGTTACCAAGACTCTGATATAAGTCCACAAAAAGTCATTAGAAAAAGGAAATTAAGAAGAAATACATTAAGTACGAAAGTAAGACAACTCAGTCGACAAAACATTCGCAGGAGAAGTCAATTGAATTACTATGAAATGTCAGATCAATCGAGCAACTCGTGTCCAGATTTTGGTTTGATTAAGACAATACAAAATGAAGGTTTTTCTTCAAACTCGGATATCTACAGATCGGAGTCATTACAGTTATTGATGCCGAAAATGAAAAAAACAATTGGAATAAATCCGAACAGTAAACTGTTTAGTGCATTCTCAGAACAATTAGATAGAATAATAAATGATGCTTGTAAAAATAATGAACCAAATTCTGTTGATAAAGATTTACATACAAATGTTAATATTTCAAACGCTAACAGTTCCAGCAATATTTCCTTACCCACCTCACCAGTTTTATCTATTGTAGAAAATTTATCAATTGATAAAAATTCCTTGAAAAGTTTTTTCGATGATAATATAAATGGAAATCAAATCGAAGAATCTAATAACAACGATCTCTTCATAACAAATGAAGATGTAACGATGCTTTTAATAGGACAGGAATGTAACCAAGCTACAACAAATAATCCAGACCAAAATAACAAAAACAAACAAGTCACCGATTCTATCTTAAATAAATTTTCCTCAGTTAATTTGAATCAAGATAATCAAACCATATCAGATAGTTTACATCAAAAAATATGTAATCTAGTTTTGGAAAGTACAAAAAAAATGCAACCAATTCCAAAAGTTATAGAACCTTTAGAAAGTAATGAAATGGATGTAGACACTGATTTAGAACTTAACAAGAAAAATAGATTAAATAAGCGATGTTCTACGCCATTAAAGCGTCAAGTTAGTAAAAAGACAAAAAAGAAGAATCCCCTAATGGAAGCTTTTATTGAAGAAGAACATACAGATTCTTGTTCACAAAGTGCTAGATCTTGTCCCCCTTTAACGTGCAATCCATCTGGCGTAGAATATCTCAATCCAGAATCTGCCAACGTAGCTCAAAAAAGAAATACAAGAGGTAGAAAGAAGAAAGAGGATGTAATCAAAGTTAAAATTCTAAGACCTAAAGCTAGAAGTCATTCGAGAGAAATACAACCAGAACAAACTAGGAATAGAGAAACAAAATCCATACATGGCGATAGTGGAATAAACGAAACAGAATCTAGTATACTTCAGCAATTAGATAGAAGTATAGAACTTATACACAATCATTCGGAAACGTGTTTACAGACGGACGAATGTTTAGATAACAGTGTAGAATACATAGAAAGCAACAGATCTTTTATATGCCTTCTTACTGACTCCGATGTTTCCAATAACTTAGAACTCAAGGATCAGGCGGGACCTGACTCTGATAAAAACACACAATGTGAACTTTTAATAGGCGATAATGACGCAAATATTTTGTGCAATGGTAAGTACAAATATTAATGAATTTTTGATGTCGTGTCAGTAAATTGCGTTATTAAAGTAGGAACAGAGGGCGTAGTAGGAATATTCGTGATATCGTTTTCGTAATGTCATCGATAAATTTTTATTAAAATTTGTCCAATGCCTCTATCGGGCGTAAAGTACACCAACAAATCTCATACCAATTTCAATGTTCGTGCGAGGCCCTAAGGACCATCCTTCAACACGAACATCTTTTATTAAAACATGTTAGAGTTACTTCGTTATATTTTCCAATACTTTTGACAAAGGAAGGGCGGTATTAAGAGGACCCGAAACCAACGTATAAGTGAGTAGATGTATGAATGTAGAAGAAGCGAGAGGGGAGTCGTGATCGCACAAAATTAACAATTTTTTTTATTCACAGTTATCCAAACTAGTCCGACCGTTGCAAATAACAGTGAGTTAATTCTAAACAGAGAATCTCCAGATAGCCTCATAACAGAAGATCTATCTGAACCAGAACAAGAACAAATTTCTGATAGAGCTTCGAAATGGTATCTTTTGTCAGAAGATGAAAATACAAACACCAATTTCCCCCTAAACTTTGATTTTGGATCTGATCTCGATAAACTATTTCCCGTCGCATGTGCAATACCGAATTTATCTACAATAACCGAACTGTCCAAGGAGAATGATAATAAACCGGTAGACCCGGACGGAGACACAAGAAATGATCTACTTTCACAGAGCCTTTTTGATAGTAATTTTTAACTTTTTTTAATATCAACCTATTTGTAAATTAAAACATGAAACTATTTTAAAAAAGCTAAAATATTATTAAGTGTTAAGAAAGTTCAATAAATGTTATTTTTAATTGCTAATACTTTTATTCTATTCCCATGTTTAACGCACTATATTCTCGGTTAATATCAAACTTTGAAGTTACCTTCACGGTGTAAGTGTAACAATTGCCATTGCTTGCGGAGGGGTAAAAATTAACTATGAAAACAGATGAACTGCCGTATAGCAGCAGACGCTAGACTTATAATCCATAAAGCAGTGCTACAGAAATTTTGTATCCCAATGTGTGGCTATTTTGCGCGTCTCATGGCCTTTTGGATTTAAAGATCGAGAATCATGAACAAAAAGTTTCTTCTTTTTAGCCGATTTGAAAAAGAAGAAGATTGTTAATTCGACTGAATTTTTTAACACATACTCTTTGGTTCTTGTTCTTTTAATTTGAATTGACATTTGACAAACGATTTGACATTGAACGCTTGTTATTGTTTGTTGTTATAATTCTCTTGCTTTTTGCGAATACAGAAAACTAAACGGTTGTTAAATTCGATTAAGCAAAAAATAAGAATAACTTTATATTGATTTTATGCAATGTAACTAGTACCTTTTTTCACTAAGATGCGGTGGTTGTTACCTCTTAGGATTACCATTAGGGACTGTTTCATTTTAATTTTATTAATTATATTTAATACAATACATGTAACTGATATGGGTAAGTACATTTTTTATTAATACAAGTCTCCAAATTTTAAACATTCTTCGAATTACTAGTAACCTTGATGTAATAACATTTTTCTATGGTTTATTTTATTATAGCTAATAACAACATGGATATACAAAGTAAGGAAAATAGGTTAAAAGGAGATACAGGAGACAAAGCTATTAACTTCAGCGGCAGTGATGATTATTTAAAAAGTTGTCCAACATTAGAACAAGAAGTTCCAGATTGTGCTGTACTCAATTATCCTTGCATAACTTGTGACAGAAGTGTTGACTGTATCTATGGAAACTTGTATAACTATACTTGTTTTGTAAAACCAAAAATTGTATGCAATGTAAGTCACTTTATATCTTGTATTAGAATAATTTAGCTTATGTAACATATCACTTTCTAATCACCAATAATGTAATGTAAGCTGTTATTTTACAGCTGTTAAATTATATAATAATATTTGTGACATTAAAGTATGAAAACAATTATACAGTCGAACCTGGATAAGTAAGAAGACTCATTTAAGCACGAAAATGATTATGTCCTTTTGACTCTATCTTAGATAGGCTTGACAGTATTTAGATCTATATTTGATTAATTGTTTTGTATTACCTTTAGGGTTCCAAGACATTTAACAGAACATCTGTGTGTCGGTTTTGCTATCAAACAGACAAATGGGAACATCGATGCGATCAAAAAGCTAATTGCAATTCTTTGGCATCACCTTTGAAATTTTATACGTAAGTAAAGTAAAATTTAATTAGGTACAAATTCAATATTTTACAAAATTATGTAAATTTTTATCTTGTTTTAGAACAAACTGTACTGTATCAGATGATATTATTTGCTTGGGTAAACGAAGATTCTTGAAGAAAATAAGATGTTCATGGACAGCAGGAACACGGTGGGGCACAGCTCTTATACTTGCATTAACATTGGGTGGCTTTGGTGCAGACAGGTTTTATCTTGGACATTGGCAAGAGGGGATAGGAAAACTTTTTAGTTTTGGTGGATTAGGAGTATGGACATTAGTTGATGCTTTGTTGATTGGAATTCACCACCTTGGGCCTGCCGATGGCTCATTGTATATCTAAGACTCATTATAATATTTAAGATTTAATAATGATTTACAAAACTATTGTAATTTATCAACAGAGATTAAAAACTACACACAATATGTCTCCTTTTATGAAAAAATTAACAGAATACATCTGTGTAACACCTATTTTTAGTTTAAAAATATAAATTGAGAAATAAAAGCCTAAATATATATATCGTTCATTTATTCTTAAACATTTGTTTGCTAACAAATATTTTTTAACATTACAAGATTATAATGTATATAAAAGGAATGACTGTTTAATTTTGTGTTTTTAGAAATCACACTTAAGAAAATAGTTTATTATCTCTTAAATTATAAAAGTTTAGTCTTTCTCTTATAAATTGTACATTGATTATGAAGTGCAGTTTTCATAAACCAGCTCACAAAGATCAGCTTTGTTTAGACTTTTTGAGAAGGTAATGTTTCTTTCTTTTAATATATTCTTTATCTGAGCGACTGTTAATTTATCAACAGATTTATTTATTACCATGTCCTGAACCAATGTTTCATTAATATCTTCAGTTTTTATTTTTTTAATTGTGTTACTTTTATCAGTATTGCATGATCTTTTTATTGACAATACCCCAAAAGGTCCAAACAACTCTTCAAATACATCTTCCCTTATAACCTGATATACTTCAGGCTTTTGTATTGTTGAATCAACAAAGGGCTCAAGAGATGTTTCTTGTAAAGCTTTGGCTTCTATGGCCCTGTATTGTGACTGTAACTTTGGATTTTCAAACATATCAGCTTTGTAATTAAATTGTAAACTATTCAATATGTTATTCATTTCTTCTTTCTGTTTTTTTTGAAGTATTGGTTTATCAGATTCATCATCAAGTTGAGGTATTTCTCTTACATTTTCCGCAAATGGTATGTGAATAACATCAAAACCAATTTCTATTTCCAAATCCAGAGGCCTGGTACAAGGTGCAAGAGCTACTATACTTGGCCTTGAATTAGCTCTTGAGCACAACATACATATAGCAACAGTTTTCATCTCATCACAAGCTTTATGCAAAGCCTTGAAAGGTACTGTAGATCCTTCAATAACAGATTCATTTGGGTATAAAAAATATCCAGCTTTCAGAAACCATTTCTCTTTGCACAATTTTATAGCAGGTTTAAAACCTAATAATTTTAACATTGGAGGTCCAAAGGGATTACTCATTTCCTCCTTTTCTTTTTTAGTGAATTCTACTCTTTCACCACCATATTCCTGACAGAACAATAGTTCTGAATCCAATAAGGGAAGCTCTTTAGAGTCTCCACTAACATCATCATCACTTACTTTTTGAGAGTCTCCAGGGTTAACTGTGAGTTTTGATCTCATTGTCACTCTTGTGACTGTTTCATTTGTTTTTGCATCTATATTTGATGTTTTGAGATATGACTGGTTTGATTTTCCTAATAAGCTGTAAACACCTACACCTATTGAAAAGCCTGGACCAATTTCAAAAGACAATTTTGCAACAGCTAAGTGCCGATGAGATTGTTGATACATCATATTCTGTATTACATTTGGATTCCACACCGCTTGTGGCAAAGTGTACTCCTGAGATTTATTAATATCAATCAACAATTCTTTGTAGAATTTGTCTATTGGATAATCATCTGGTGAAATATTGATAATTGTGATCTTAGTGTAGGATCCAACTAAATTTACAACTCTATCAAGAGTTCTTTTTTGATCTGTTGTTACTGGTGGATTAAGTAATTTTGTTAAAATAAGAATAGTTTGTGATGACAGCTTCTTTTTGTAGTCTTTAAATATTTTACTACAGTGCCATAAAACCTCCGATAAAACATATTCTTTGGCTTTGCCATAAGATGCAATATCCATTGCGCGTAATTTTTTATACCCTTCTAGGGTTGGGGTATCCATAGAAATTATATCAATAATATTGTTAGAATTTAAGTCTGTTTGTGTTTGATCTGTGCCGTAAATGCTAACTCCTATATTGTGAGAGCTCGATGATCTCAAATACTGCCTAATCAGCAAACATGTTGCTTCATGTGCAACTTTAATTGTACTCGAGTCTTCCAAAGCGTTAATAAGTACAATAGTACCTGGGCTTCCTTCCCATTTCGCGGCCTCCTCTATTTCATCATCTGAATCCATGGTTGTAATTAATTGGACAAAACCTTCGATAAAAAGTATGAAAGTGATAGTCGTTGTCTTTCCCCCTTAAATTTATTTTATTTCTGGTGATGACAATGACCCTGATGACATTTGACAGCATAATTTGACAATGACAGAAGTGAACATTAAAACCAAAGAGTATTCCCGTTGCCATAGACTTCCTAGAACCGGTGGATTTTCTATATCTAAGTAGGTTTTACATATAATCTGAAAAGACCAACCGCGATAACAGCGCCTCTTACACCGGTTAATATCCTTGTTTACCTATATGTGAAAACCCTTGAAACAGGCATGATCTCATACCTACTCCTCAACCTCATCGTAAAATTTTTGGCTTTATGTTAAAATCCAAGCACCTTACAAAATACAGTCGACTAGGTAATGATTTATGTACATTGTATGTACATGTGCATTTAGATTATATCGAGCTTAGATCATGCTAATGAATATCAAATATCATGCTTGAAATAAACTTAATATTCGGCACTCGCCACATTTCTAATGGCAATATATTTGGAACTTGGAAAATGAAAGGAGATATTTATTTAGAGGAGGATTTGGTGTTAGAGTACCAGGGTGGAAAAAGAGGGTGCGGCAATATGTATCGCATTTTTCGGCGGAGGCGATGGTAAAGCTGCGAGCCTGCGCAATGCTCCCGTGGGGGAACTACTGCGTCGCCCGTCATTCGTTCGCGGGGGCACAGCGCGACGCCACCTCTATTTGGTAGAGGTTCGGGCTTGTGACGCTGTCTAAGTAAAAGGAGGACGGGCAATAGACACCGTCGCGGTAATACGCGAGTTTTTACAAGCGAAGAACGCGTGCGCGATAGAGCGCGTGCGCGGCGCCACCTGCGCGCAACGACGACCCGGGAGCATGCCAAGAGCACGGCGCTGCCGCGCGTAGCGAGCCAGGCCGTGCGCGCTATCGCCATGGGCTGCGCTTCGTCGGCAGAGGAACGTGCCGCTCTGGCGCGCAGCAAGCAAATTGAAAAAAACCTCAAGGAAGATGGCATTCAGGCCGCCAAGGACATCAAGCTGCTGCTCCTTGGTAATGGAGCCTGTCTTTCTCACTCTCTATCTCTTTCTGACTTTTGACGCACAGCGCGCGCACTTCTCATGGACCTCTATCGACTGCGGCACATCGAACCGGCAAGAATCGACAACGTTTCTGCTTGTTGATTCGCTTAATGATTACAGAAATACATTTATAATGCAAATTTATACCAAAAGAGGATGCTTTTTAACCAACTTCTTATTAACAGAACTTTTAAGTTTTTAAGGAAACTATGAGAAAATATGTAAAGTATGCAAACTACTATCGTCAAAATAGGTATAGGTGTTATACATAAGATGAACAGAAATAGTTCTGCTTGACTTTGATTGGGTACGAAGGTAGGGCTGGAATTATATCAAGGTTAGGGACTAGAACCGCGTTTTAAATAAAGCTAGGGGAACAATAATAAAAATCATGTTTTAGCAGTTATGCTTAAATAATAATAATATAGCTATTGGTATATATTGGCGCCATAATAGGATTTAATTCATCACTTTAAATATAACTATAAAAAGACTCCATAGTATCCATATTTCATTTCATGTTTTATTCGTTTTTATATATATTATTTTATGTAATGAAATGTTAACCAAGTAGGTACAATGATTATTTCATATCACCATCGGGTATTTCTTTACTTATATAAAGTTTTTAGGTCTACATAATACATATGTATATTAATTATTATTAATTTTTATATCAATTCATTACTTTTTTAATAATAACATGAACAGTTTTCGTTACAAAATACTTTATTCAAATATTTTGTCGTATCTCAAGTTTTGGTTAAACCATATTTTGTTCTCTTTCGTGTGTGAATTCAGTTTCACGCATGTGTGAGCGAGCCCGAGCGATCGACGCCGAATGCACACGAACGTCAGTCGAGCGGGGCGCGGTCGCCGTCAGTCGTCACGGAGTGGAGCTGGTGCTTGTCATCCGGCCGCCATTATCTCATACGGATTCATAAAATCAATTAAAGTTACGCTGCCGTTACGCGTTTCGGTGTGAAGTGGATTAGAAAATTGTGAAAGTTTAAATAGTGCGGCCATATTCCTATATTAGTGAGTCAATCAGACAGTGTTTAGTGGTAGGTTTAGGTTACTGTGTTGGGTGCTAACATTGTGTAGGGTGGCTCCGGTGAAGTCGGGGCGGCAGGACGCGTGTGGAGCGTATGCAGAGGGAGCGGTGAGAGTGCGCCCGGCTCGTGAGTCGGGGCGGACGGCGGCACAGGCACACCGATAGCTGCCAAAATGGGTTGCGCTCAGTCGGCAGAAGAGCGCGCCGCCGCTGCTCGTAGCAAGGCGATCGAAAAGACCCTGAAAGACGATGGAATCCAAGCATCCAAAGATATTAAATTGTTGCTGCTAGGTACGGTGTCTCCCTATTCTGTTCTTCACGCACATGGCCGCACCCATGTATAGAATTTGCACTCAAAAGCGTTACATTTGCGGTGGTAGCTAATCATGTATTTGGAATAGTTATTTACTTGTTGTAATATGTTGAATGGCACAAAATAATTGCAATTCGCAAATTTATTTCCGAAAATACGATGTCAAATCATCAAAAAGTGTAAGTTACTTCGAAAATTTAATATAAACAGTTAGATACCTGCCTTAGCTAGTAACTTATCAGTATTCCGACATGCATTCGTATTCCCTGAGTAAATGAAAGCGCCAATTGCTTTCATAATTAGAGAGTTGGCAGTTTTGTTTCTGCCTTGAATATTCCATTCTTACATATTTATTTCTATTATCTTATTAGAAATCTGAAAAGTTTAATTATAACAAGATTATTTTCCTAAAAAGTAAATGTACAATCATGTTAGTTAGTGTTGTGTTTGAAAAGTTGGTAAAGAAGACTATAAACCATGTAAAGTTCAATTACCTCAGTTATCTAATTAACATATGTATGCATAATAATCAGTAACAATAAAACTATTCTTCTTGTTAATTGTTATCTATGATTTAGTTTCACTGTACTCAATAGTTCAGCAAGTTTTATGTGCTTCTGACAACATAATCTTATTCATTCACCATTCCTTCATCACATCTTATTCATTGTCTAATTAGGTACATATTTCTTAGATAATATTGTACAATGACCCTAAAGTCCTTAAAAACTTAAAAGATATTTGTAAAATATTAGAAGCACATTATAAGTTAAATATAGTAACAATATAACTAAATGTACCATTTTTCCTTATGCAACAATGGTGTATCTCCAGTGAGTTGCATTTTAAATGTTATCAATATTTTGATTGATTTATTTTCTAAAATTATTTAATTTTGACAAATTATAGTATACTTGCTTCAAAAATAGTGGAAGTGGAAAGCAATACACTTTACAATAAGGTCCTAAAATCACAAATAGTCCCATAGATTTTCACCGTACATGAACATTGAATCTTTGGTTAGTTGGTTTACAAGATATTTATAAAACAAAACCCTGATTTGACAACCATGAAAAAACTTACAATAGTTGCAATTTTTGACATTGGCAATAAAAACAGTAGATCCTTGCTGAAGTGCCATACTTTATAAACCAATAGCTGTTGCCTGTGACTCTTCCCAGAAATAAAAAAAACTTAATAAATGGGCTATGTGTTCTACCAGACTAAGTTCTATATCTGTGCCAAATTTTATTAAGATCCATTGAGCCGTTCTGGAGATACTCTTTAAGAAACATCCAACCATCTAAACTTTTTCATTTATAATATTCTTAAGATACAATATTAGTTACTATTGATTATTGTGAATGGTTACTACTATGTTCTTATAACCGGTTTTGACTGTATTTACTTCAAATGTGGTGACTAGCCATAGCCATTGACTAATCATTGTAATTATGAGGACCTGAATGATGAATAATTTCAATAAATGCTACATGTCTGGACTTGTTAATTTACAGCCAATCATTCATTAAATATATCATTAGAATAGTCATAATTACTATTATAATACTACATATAACAATTTGGTCCTATTTTAGTTTATTACAGAAAATCAAATAATAAGAGATGAAGATATTTTATTGTAATTAGAATCATTCTTTCCTTTGAAGTTTCATGGTAAAATGAAAAATTTATTTTTGACTAGCTGTCGCCCGCGATTTAGACCGCTCAGAATTAAAAAAAAACTTAATTAGTAGCCTATGTGTTCTTCCAGACTATGTTCTACATCTTTACCAAATTTCAGCAAGATTGATGCAGCCTTTCCGGAGGTACCTTTGAACAAACATTCGCAAAAACTTAGCTATATGGTTACCAATTGATGTACTAATGAGTACTTTAGACAATAATAAAGATGTATTCCAGGATATTTTTTAATCTGTCTCCCTAAGTTCTAGCTTTGATTTCTAATGATATCATAACTATTCAATGCTAAAAGTACTGTCTGTCTATCATCACCTCATATACTCATCCCCATGAAGTGGATCGGAGTCTCCAAAAGGAATTTACAAAACTCATGATGTTATCACTGATTTTTCAAACAGAAACATGATATGCACGACAATGTATTTTGTATCCATATATTAATTTATTTAATGATAAAGGTTACGTTTAAACGATATTTTCGCAAATCCAAGTATCATGATTGTTTTGTCTCAACAAGTTCTTCATAAGAACTTGAAATTTGAATACTGATGTTCACATCGTACGGGCTTCGTTTTACCGTCGATATAGCGTCGGATGTAGCAGACAGCTCTCGTGACTGTCGGCGAGGTAGATGTTATCGCTATGATGCCACAAAACGCGCCTCTTAATCGCCACTTCGGCTTTGATCGATAAAATAAATGGCACAACGAAAATATTGATGTTTATTATAAGGACATTATTTGTTGTCGAAATTCTGTGGCGTCTATAAAATCTCGTTCTAAGGAGTCTTCATGTCTATTGATTTCATTGGGTTTAAAAGTTTATTAAGCGAATTTATTTCTAAGTTCTACTTATCTAATTGCATTGAATAGGCACCGAAACTCCATAACCGATTTTAAAAATTCTTTCACTACTGGCAAGCTACACTATCCCAAAGTGACATAGACTATATATTACTAGTTTGATTCCGCGCGGACAAAATCAAGTGCAACGGCTAGTTTATTATATTTTCTATCGATTTCACGTACATTTATGAATGGCAGTTCTTTAATTATACTTGGTACGATATAAATTATTTTCCTACCATCCTAGCGTATTGTCATATCTTCGTTGTCAATGTCTTCGGACACATATCAATATGACACATATAAGGATTGTATTCAATTCATAGTTACACTTGCTATCTAGCTCGCGTCCTGCCTATTAAATCAGGAGACGCCACGAAGTAGGTGATACCAAAGGGTCAGGGATCGGCCGTTCGCAGCTTGGCCAATTAGATACAGCTGGGGTCAGGATTGAGACCCGGGTATGAAAGGCATCGTTAAGTGACGCCCACGCACCTTTCATTGTGTTGGATGGCCCTCGTCACGACAATTGTCTGGAATGTACCTGAAGATGTAGATGTTAATGATTGCTTTGTAATATGATAATTACCAGTATATATTCTGTTGTGGTTAACTGTCATTAATCTATTTTCAAATATTTGCCTCCCAGCCCTAATTTTAGTCCTCTTTTCCTTCCCATATTTTTCTTATAAAGATACGATGGGACTAGTGGATTTTTCGAAGGAGGGGATGTCTCGCAATGGGAAATATTTTCTTTAGACGTAACCAATCCTCCGTCGATTAAATATAAGCAACGCTTCTGTTATTGCAGATGTGTATGGGTAAAGGTCGGTTCGCTATTTCGGCGATTTTATGAAGCCACTCGCTCGTTTGGCCGCCTTTTATAAAAGAAACAATAGAAGAAGCCCAAATATCCAGGGAAAGTTGTTCCTGAAGTTAGTAGTTTTTTAAATGTATTCGTGTAGTTTCATTACTATTCAAGTTGGGTTTACGAGTATATTACATTAACCACTCCTAAACATTGGCAGCATCACCCAACTTCACTGTTTCCGAAACTTTATGATATTGCGAAGTTTTAAAACCGCGTACAAAATTAACGTTTCTTCGTATACTTTCTATGCTCTGTTCAGTACCGTGTTATATTTCCTATCCTATTTTTATTCAGTGAGACATGCATTTAAAGCGAGATGAACGGTTTACATTGGTTAGGTAATTAACCGTTTTTATATCACTGCCGTTTTATATGCGGCGGTCGGGCGAACGTTTATTATGGACTCGCCCATCACTTCGTCGACGATCCCGCGATGTATATTCTTTGATTTTTCTGTATTTATTACTGTGAGTGTTTTATTCTATTACTGTGATTTTCTGAAACCAAAAGCCCCTTTTAAAACATGTTATCTGTGTTTTTTCAATAGTGACAGGGATGATGATTTGTTTTATACATAGGTTTTGATCTCAGAAACCAACGGTCAATTGATTAGTGTTTACTCACTAATATGAGTGAAGAGAGGTTTTTTTTAAAAATTGTATGATTTAGGTAAGCGGTTGTGTATGAAATTATGTTAATATTCCTTTTCCACTTACAGGTGCCGGAGAGTCGGGCAAGAGTACTATCGTCAAACAAATGAAGTGAGTACTTTTTCTTCTTGATGTGCTAATACATAGGAAATGTAACTAATATACGCTGTTTCAAATAAAAAATAGTTTTGCAAAGAGTAAACTACATTAGATTTTTTTACAGCATTAAAAAAATCTTTAATTCGTTTTAATGAACATAATGCTGCGAAGTTTACAGTTAAAAAAATATCAACAACTTTTTAATATGAATAATTACACTAATAATTAAAATAGAATATCGATTGTATTTCACTCGATCTTCTATCAGTTATTAGAACAAGTAAACAAAGCCTTGATAAGTTAATCTAGCGATCAATTATATTTAAGCAGTCATACTTATACATTGCAAGTGACTTCGATATCACAAGCAATACGTTATCGCCGAAATGTTAAGCGCTTGTTGACAAGTCGTAGATACAAAGATAAGCTGATAGGGCGCAATACCTCTGTGGCACGCACCCAAACTCTACATTTTTGCGTCACTAATCATATTATGCAATATTGATTAAGTATGTTATTCGCTGCAAATTTTTATACTTATTGTCGCCCACGACTCTTTCCGCGTAGTATAAAAACTGTGGCGTATGCTTTATTTTATAGCAGGGGCTCCCAACCTTTTTAGCCGACTTAAAAAAGAAGGAGGTTATCAATTCGTCTGTATGTTCTTTTTTTTTCTTAGACAGGGTCAAATTTTACTAAACTAATATAATATATTAGCATTTGCGGACCAGTGGTTGGGAAGCGCTATTTTAAAGTATCTCCGCTTAAAATATCAAATTGAATTCGTTTAGCTGTCATGGAGATACGTGGTAACGAACATAATAATTTTAATAACTTTTCTATCGATTATCGTATAAATGTTATTATCGCAAGTAGTATTGACGATTTCTGTACTTGAATTTAAAAAAGTTAAAGTTTATTTCAACTAAAGCTAGAGAAGCTGGTATAACTCTCGTAAAAAATATGAAAATGCATAATTACTCTATATAAAGCATTCGAAAATGTCACAATAGCTCTGAAATTATAAGCATTCAACTAGAACTATGATTGGCGTATTACTCATTCCTTTCCCACCTTCAGTCGTCTATAATATTGTGGTATGTGACGTGACTCAGACAATTAGTAGTCGTTATCGCTCAAATGACTAGTCACTTCGACTTTTACAATACCGTCGCAAGATATTGTATGAAATCTAGATCCCCTACTACTGTTTAGTTCGGAAAAAGTTGACCCAATTGCGGTTTTTCCGAGTTCGAGATGAGACAGAATTCAGTGAAGTTGTAGACTGGAACGGTGACTAAATACATACGTCACGCAATATCTTATTTCCTCACCAACTGTTTAAGTCATTGCGACTCCGTCTGTGCGAAATTAAAAAATAAAAACCTTAATTTGTAGCCAATTGTGATCTGCCAGACTATGTTTTACATCTATGCCAAATTTCATCGAGATCTGTTGAGCCTACCTACAGATACCTTCTAAAAACCGCCTTCCATCCTTCTAAACTTTTGCATTTGTTATATTAGTAAGATAACTTTTACCTACCATAAATTTCAATTAATTTTACAACCATACTATAATTGGGACATAAAAATAATAGCTGTTGCTGTTCTTGCTTAGTCTAATAACAATTTGAGAACGATTATTCGCAAGACTTAACACCGGTCAATATAAATTTTAATAGCCATGCCGAACTTATACGTATCTTGGCAACGTTAATTTAACAAGACAAAATTAAAAAGCAGTCTATATTGTAGGTCATCGGAGTTTTATACAGTCTCTTTCCCTTTGTATGTATCATCATACATAACCGAGCGGCTATTGCTTTGTCTTCCCGACATGGACGTAACATATAAGTAAGCAAAGCTTTTGGCAATCCGTCTGCGTAGCGAAACGAATACAATGCATTATTATACACATAAAATATTTGTTTTTGTTATTGCGTTCACGTTTGTCTTGTCATGTGATTCGTTTGACTGTTTACTGAGAGGTACGAATACTTGACAAATCTAAACTAGTACTCGTACTACAGAATGAGTATTTTCGTTGTCATAGCTTATTTTGACCAACAGAATGGTCTTTAATATTAAAAAGATTGTAACAAACATTCGTTAGTGTAATTTTTTAAAGACAGATATACTAGACTATTTTTTTAGTCTAATCAAATCTTGATATTACCGCTTAGAGAATATGTAGACCAACCCTTGTCTGACTTGTTCGTCTTGGTAGGCTATCCACCCTATCCCAATTATGTTTAAGTTCTCTAGTATGCCACCAAATATTATAAATACCCTTAGGAGGAAAATTCGACACTGTGCCGGTGTATTCGCGCAACACCAGCCTTACTAAAATGTCGATGTTTATGTCCCCTCACTAATCATTCTGACACTTGACTTTGTAAGGAAAGTGCGCCACTGGTGCCAAAGAATTTTAAGTAATAATGTCTTAAAAATACATACATATATATTATTTAGTATATTTTTATTTACTAGATAGAAGTGACATTTTAATCATGTATTGTAATCTATCCACATAGCGATGTCATCACAAATCACGATATGACGGCGCCCACATACAGATATACGATATAAAGGTATTGATTTAGTGATGCAAGTGGAAATATTGCTATCTACATTGATTAAATTGATTATAGAAAATATTTGCTACGACTTCTGATCAATGCACACCAAATTAGTGTGTCTGTCGGAGGTTTAATTAAAATGACTGTTGAAAACGCAGTTATGAATACAGTTTCCTAACTACCTAACGTAATGTATGCCTTGTTTAGATAGAAATTACCTGACACAAGGATGCTGTTCTTCTACACTGTAAAGTCTGATGGTTAGAGTTCATGTTTTCGATTATAAGGTACACTCTAAGTTACAGGACTCATTAGAAACATAACCCTGTAAAAATATAGATAGACGCTTAGTTAAACGCGTTTTAACGTTAAAGTGATTTTATGTTACATCATAAATATGTATCACCACTTTTAAAAATCCGGGCCGGGCATTATAATTACGGTATAAAAAGTTGACGTGTGTTTTAGCTAAAATGTTTTCGAAATATTGTTAACTTTTTATAGAAGACCCTTATATTGGAGGTAATACATCTGCGTGCTAGACAGACTTAGCGCATCGGTAGACAGACACGCGAGGCAATCAATTCTACAGACAGTCTAATGTGCCTATTACTAAGACGTTATTAGTAATGTATTGGCCTTAATATATTCTCCCATATGTTCTCTGTAGTTCCTAAGCTGTAAACAAAATATTAACACTGCGGTGAAATACTTAAAACGCGAATAAAATTTAATTTTGTTGAGTTTTCTATATATAAACTAGCGGATCCGACAGACGTTGTCCTGTCTACACGTCTTTAAAATTTGACACTGCGATGGTAGTCCAAAATCAATAACAAATTTCATCAAAATCGGTCCAGTTGTTTGAGAGAAGTTCAGTGACATATACACTCACAGAAGAATTATATATATAAAGATTTAGAAGCTTATAACATTACTGAACGGGTATAAATAATCTGAGCTAATCCTTAAAAGGTAATCAATTACTTTCACGGAAATAATGTAAAATGCACTTATCACAACCATTATTTTCTAACCTATATTTGGATGAGAACATATTTCAAATCTATATTCAAACACGCTAACATTTATACGCTGTAAGCAAAATTGGGTATTGATGTTTTTGATTCGTTTTGTTTGAAAAAAAAAATTAAAGCTATGTGTGTGGGAGCAATGTCTTTACGATTGACCATGACCCTGTAAATTCAAAGCTATTGGCAAAACCCACCAATTTATCAATTAACTAAAGATAAAGTAATGAAAAAAAACAGTAGTTAAAACCTATCAGAGACATTGCGATAAGAAATAATGCGTATGCGTAAACTGTGTTCTACGCAATAATGGCGTAAATTTGCGTGTATACTCTTTGACGTTGTCTATGACGTCATCAGCGTCCCGGATACAACTCAGGCTATACCTTCGACGCTACGTCACATATCGCTTGGAGATATTTTTAATAGTTTTAAGATTGTGAGCTATAAAGACATGATGTTAGAATAGTGATTCATAATAGACAAGACAAGGAACTCATGTTTACAATTAAATGCTTTAGCTTTTTTATTGGTATATTTCCATTTTTTTTAATGATATGTTATTAGGTAGGATTTATTTCAAATTTTAGCATAAGTACTGTCAACATAGTATAAAACATTGCAAATGAGTGCAGAGGAATTGATACAGTCATGTGGTTCGGTCATCTGGTTCAGTCATGTTGTTTATTTTATTATGTAGAATAAAATTATTAAAGTTTATAAATTCTTAATAAACGTGTGTCACATCGCTTATGTTTATAAAAGTGGAAAAAATATCGTGACAGAATTATTTAGTAAATTTTTCTGTATGTTTTGTTTATTGAAACGAATCATCTACTATAAACTTCTTGTAGTTAAGAGGATTACTAGAAATTAAGCCTTTTCTTGTGAAAGGCGACATAATAAGCATTGGCAGTCAACACAATATAACTTGAAATTCATTCCACAAAACGTATAACTGGACGTCGCTACCATTGTTTCTATTCTCGAAGTATAAAATGGAGTGAGGTTGATACGTAGACATCACTAATATGTGACGTCATCCATTGTATGGACACCGCGTTTTTATAGCTTGTTTACAAGTGGTAAAAGTAATCTAAATTTGGTCAGACATCGATGGTTATTTTATGGAGGTGTTCCCATAAATAATAAATTAAATGCTTAACCCACTTTGCTGGACGGGAAATGTTAACATTGCTAACTCGTGTATTTATAGATAATTATATTAACTAAATTAACTATGTAAACATGGTTCTTTTGGAATCATTTATTTATGCATTTTCATATTATCTTATATATATAAAAGAAAGTCGTGTTAGTTACACTATTTATAACTCAAGAACGGCTTTACCAATATGGCTGAAAATTGGTGAGGAGGTAGCTTAGAGTCAGGAGACGGATATAGTATAATATTTATTTATTTCTTTTCGAATTTATGCATTGAGCTGCTTTTTATTTAACTTGCTAATATTATAAATGCGGATGTTTAGATGGATGGATGGGTGATTGAAGATATCTCTAGAACGGCTCAACGGATCTCGTTTAAATTTGGCATACTTATAGAACATAGTCTAAAAGAACACACAGGCTACACTAATAAAGTTTTTTTTATATATCCACGCGGAGGGAGTCGTGCGCGACAGCTAGTTATCGATAAAGTTTTGAGTACAACTAATATACTTATTGTGGAAAGGAACAAGGATCATTTGTGTCCCAAAAATATTGACACTTAGTGTGGATTGTATTTGGTAAACTTATGTGGACAAAATTGGTCACATACCAAAGAAGGTTCGTTATTCAAAGCTTCCGTAACCGATGTTTGTTTGTTGTGAGTTCGAACTCCAAAACAGATTTTTTTGTATTTTCTTTGTCATTTGCATAGTTTATTCGTTTAAGCAAATAAAATATTACATTGTAATAAAATAGCTACATGTAGGTCATATTTCCTGTCAACTTATTTATGTCTTTATAGGGCAATATTATAGTTGCATATATTGTTATGTATTTTTTAAGACAAACATTTTAAGGCATAAATTTATAGAAAAAAAATCTCTTAGATAGAAAAAAGAAATATTTTTTTCTATATCTATTTATCTAAGTATGTTTAAATAGATAGTTTTTATTTAAAATTTGATAGATTTAGTAAAGAGATGAACTGCGTTTTATAAATAAACGTATTAGTGTAAATTTTGTAATACATTTTAGTGGCACTAATGATCAAAGGACTCCATTGATAGCGAAAGTGGCACGTATTAAACACGTCGTGTTTACTGACATTTTATAGCTGTAACAGTCTTTACACAAATTAATTAATATAAATTAAATTCATATTTCTATAAGATTGTTAGTTTTAAAACATATACGATAATAGCTGTCGCCCTCGACTCCGTCTGCGCGGGATTAAAAAAAAACTTAATTATTATAGTTTATTAGTATTATTAATGAATAGATAAATATCGATCTCCATTCTGTCTGTTGGGCAAATATTTCCAAGTATCGACTTTATTAGTATCCTACGTGTTCTTCCAGACTATGTTCTACATCCGTGCCAAATTTCAGCGAGATCCATGCTGTCTTTCTGGAGGTACCTTCTAATTTGCTATTAGTAAGATATCCACAATCCGACTATCCTATTATGGAAATATTAAATTATATAAAAATAATAGTGTACTAAAATGCTGATATATTTGAAAACATAACCTTACTGTAGTGGAATTACTTAATACAAAGTAATTCGCAGTTCAATGAAACCTGTTTTCGTATTTTGTTCGTTAAATATCCAAGAATCGGTTCCATTCGTTAAACATAGATAGCAACTTCCTTTTAATTAACAGAAACTATTTCCTGTATCTTTATTAATTCAACTGTTATAAGTAATAATAGTTATTGTTAATAAAAGTTACAATAATATCTTTAATGATGTTAATTGCAGATTTAATTATTGGTCCATATTAAATCTAGTCGCTAAAGACAAAGTTAAACTCGTTCGTTAACTCTTGAAAACTTGCATATATATTGATAAAAGTCTTACGTAACTGACTGGGTTGTTTACCTTATATGACGTCATTCTAGATATGTTTTGATGTACTTTTTTCATTAGAATAAAAATTAATGTTTCAAGCATGTCATGTTAGTAACCGTGGATTTCTGAGACCAAAATCCTCGTTTGAAACATATTGTTATCTCTGTTTTGTCAAATATAATAAATATAATACAGAGATTTTAGGGTCGAAAAATTCTTTAAGCGCTTCCAATTGAAATTAGAATAACAAAAGAAAAAACTCAAATGTTTTAATGTGTATGCAATTGTCAACAGAATTATCCACGAGAGTGGTTTCACAAATGAAGACTTCAAACAGTACCGGCCCGTGGTGTATAGCAACACGATCCAGTCGCTCGTCGCCATCTTGCGAGCTATGCCCAACCTGGGCATCACCTACGCTAACAAGGACCGCGAGGTATTACACATTTTTACCATATCCCAGTTTCCACAGGATAACTGAGGGTCTAGCACGAATATTTATGATAATCGCCTTTCGTGTTCTACTTTACGCCCGATTTGGCGCTGTACAATTTTTTATAAAATGTTATCGATGACTATACGAGGGTGATGGTCACAAATATTCGTGCTAGGCCCACAGCTTTTGGTTAAAACTCGGTGAATAGATAAATTATGGAAATTTAAACAAGGATAGGATAATAAATTGCCTTCTTGATAAAGAAATTTATTTTTAATAACGTTGTAAATAAAAGTTTGGTATAGTAAACATTTAAAACTGTACTCATTAATCGTTTAAAGCCATCGATAACATATTTAAATCAGAGTTCCTCATACTTGTAATTACGTTGGCTGTAAAAATGAAAGTCTTTGCCTAATTTAAAAATACTTCATTATACAGTTTATAGTGCGGGGTAGTTAACAAGTGGTGGACTCGTTACTAATTTGAGTATCAAAGCTCGTACGTTCCAGTTGCGCAAGCCATAACCGCTTCGATTACGAGGCGGCAGTGTTCTATAAATAATGTTTTTGGCTGTCGGAAAAAAAATCATCTAGGTTGCACTGCGGTAAAATTCTTCCGTGTACTTACTTAATTGTACTCAAAAGGGATCGTCCATTAGTCACGTGAAATCTACAGCATTTTGAATACTTCAACATACTTTGTACAAAATGATTTTGTGTATTGGGGAGCGGGTGCAGTCTAAAACTCAACTACATATCACCGGAAGGGTTAAAAACATTGCTAAAAATCACGTGATTAATGGACTGTTAAGCATACAACTTTATAAAAATATACGATCACTATAAAATAATTTTTAGCTTAGATTTTTGCCTTTCTTCAAAAAAGAATCTTGCCACAATAAGGGTTTAAAGTGGTATAGAATAACGCAATTCACTATAACGTAGTCCATTGTATTTTTGATAACAAACGAGGGAATTCCAACATCTAGTAGTTTATGGTTTCGCGTGCGTTTAAAATTTTCTTGATATGATTATAGTCTGTAGTAATAATTAATTGTCTTTAATTCCACTAAGCTATAATGCAATAGATAAATAGACATTCGCTTTTTAATAAATATTTATGTATTAATTAGTATTATAATCCAAATAAGCTTTAATCTTATCTGATAAATAATTTTTTTGTTCATCTTCTTTTGGTATTTAAAATATTTGTACGATATTCTATATACATCATCAATTTATATACCCACCTATTTATATCACCTTTAGAGTTTGCAATTAAAAACTTAATTTTAAATCGTGAACTTCGAAACGAGCTAAACCTTTAAAATTAAATACATTTCTACATCTTCATCTAAACTCGTGCCACTTAAACTTGTAGAAATAATTGCCATATCTAAAAATAATATTAAACTTTTCCAATTAAATAATGTTTGTGCATTTATAATGCTGATTATATTAATTGGAGCGTTACAAGATTTTTTTTTATCGCGTTCGTTAATATTCATGAAAGTTGATATGAAGTTAACTTGTAATATTACACTAAAAATATATTGGCTATAATATTGGCAGTTATAATTAAAACATAAATATTAGGGTCTCCAAATATTGTATTTTAACAGTGGTAGCCCTCTTTAACATCTCCGCACGATTTGGCCCGGCTCGCCCGATGAAATAGTACGACCACAAAAGACAGGCGTGAAGTGGAAGCAATTCCGCGTTTCGTCTGAAGAGTATGCGTCCCGGAGGCCTAATTTAGTTCTCTTTCCCATCCTACCCTTTTTCTTATTAGGAAAGGATGGCAAGTGGAAGTGGACTTTCCGGATGACAGGATGCATAGGAAGGGAAAATATTTTCTTTCTGTGCATCCTCTCCTCCGTCGATTAAAGGTAGGCAACGCATATGCAATTGCGTATTTCTATGGGCAACGGTCACTTCCCTATTTCAGCGATTTCAGGTGGCCGCTCGGTCGGTTGCCACCTTATGATATAAAAAATATTAGTCTCTTATCACTTGATTTGTTTAATTTAGTCGTGTATAATAGAAAATCAGTACCGTTTTCTTCGGAAGCCCTCCCCTTTCCTTGGACGATCCCTTAGGCCTAAATCGTTTTTTTACGAATCAAGTTTAGTACTATCGTACTTGGGAAGACACAAAATAGTAGACAATCACTGCTTTCACTTCGTACTAATACAAATGTTCGTGATGTTTGTCCAATATTGGTGGAAAATATTTACTGCAAGTTGATCGATGCTGAGTATTTCTTATTCATGAAAGTGTTTCGATGCATATTCAGCGCGGCCTTGTTCGCGGCTTATTGCATTATTTGTTCTTTGCATTCATTATGGATGCAGTTGCGCATTATAACATAGGGCCAATTTGCCGCAGTCTTTTAATTTCCTTCATTGTTATAAACAACTATGGAAACTGTTTCGATTGTAATTTACAATAATTTTCTTTATACAATGCTTATTCATACTTTAAATTCATGGTCTCAGTCGTATTCAGTTTATACGACTCGCTTAACCATCACTAAGTTCTCTCTGAGTTGACCATCCCAGATTCATGTATGGTATGAAATTTAACTTGAAAAGACTTTATAAGCTAAAAGAATCTTTGAGATAGCGTGCTTTCAAAGCCTTTAAGATGATTGATTTATTAATAAAGAACATGGCGAAATGTTTCACTGAGAATACTTAAGTTTGGCCACTTTTGGCAATTCTCCTGTGTCTTATGACAAGATATGATATCCACATATTTCATTTAAATTTTAGGTTAGGTTGTATTTAGTTTTATTTTTAACTCGATTAATTATTTAGTTATTTATTTATGTTTATAGGTATCTTACAACACGTTAAGGTAAGAAATGTTTTCTGAGATGTTGTAGGACACAACTTATGGTACTGGTAATTCCTGCAACGCTAAATTGTGTGTTCATATTTAATTAGAGAGCATTGTTTTTATCTATTTAGTATCTGTCGCCAGACTCCGTCTGCAGAAAAAAACTTAATTATTCGCAGCCTATTGTGCTCTTCCAGACTATGGTCTACATTCATGCAAAATTTCATCATTAAACCTCCACCCATCCATACATTCAAACTTTCGCATTTATAAGATTACTTAAAAGTATGTGCTATTAGTAACTTTTGATTTTGATAAATGCAATAAATAAAACAATTAAAAACATACAGTTATAAGCACGAGGCTGATAAAGGCAGGATTTAGGCAACAAAAAGGCCTCGTGAAATATTGTACTCGTAATTAAATGTTTTGTCACGCGGCCTGCTCGAAACACTTTTGGAAGTAACGGGTACTTCTTAAAGTTGTATTTCTACCTAATACACTAATAGAAGTATCACGATTAAAATTTCGTGAGACAAAACGTGATGGTAATTGGTCGACAAGCATGACAATGACCGTGAGTTTCCGAGACCAAAATCACTGTGTAAATTCACAAAGCAGAGATAACAATATGTTTTAAACCCACGATTAAGTGATGTCAAGTATCATTATTGGGCTATCGATGAAGTTATGGTTACCTGTAATTTTTTAAAAAGTATTTAATGTCGCCTATAGAAATGACATGCTAGTTTCGTTTGGTAAAATAATGAAAGTACGTAAGAGAGATTGTGTTGTATATCTCGGCCACTACATTCACAAAACTAAACTTAGAATTATATGAATACTTTGTATTGCTATTAATCAATAGACAGGCTATGTTTATTCAATTGTTATTGTAGCTAAATAGATCGTATGCTCTATCATTGTGTTATTTTAGCTACTGTGTACACTGAATTAGATTTCTATAATCTAATCTACTAATTTTAGCACAACTAAATATGTCCGAATAAAGCTAGACGTCTCGGCAACGTTTTGATTCAAATATAAACCTAAGTTTGGATGTTTATTGCTAGTTCAAATTATGTACTATTTGTTTGGAATCTTTTCTATTGACTTTTTTTTAAATAGTTTGTAACGTCCATAAGCCATTTAAATCTTATCCGACCGAGGGGTTTTGGAACTTACCCAATGTTAGAGGTGACTAAGGTCTAGGTCGTCAAGGCCAACTTTTATTTATTTGTTACTTGAATGCTATATTTTTTGTAGAGCGACGGCAAGATGGTGTTCGACGTGATCCAGCGTATGGAGGACACGGAGCCGTTCAGTGAGGAGTTGCTGGCGGCAATGAAGCGGCTGTGGGCCGACGCCGGTGTGCAGGAGTGCTTCGGCCGCTCCAACGAGTACCAGCTCAATGACTCCGCTAAATAGTAAGTCAAATTTAATTTTACAAACTAATAGGATCAGTTTCCACTGTGATTTCCACATTCAAGGCTCAGTGGAAATAGACCAAGTGACTCTATGCAAAAGTTGACCATGTGTAACCCGATAGATCTGACTATATGGGTGAATTCAGTGGGATTAACAATTAGTAGAAAAAAACTGAAAAATCTCTTGTTCAAACATGTAATTTGTTCATTAAAGTGATATTAACTTATTATTAATTCATCGAACAAACTAAAAAAAATGCCGCTTTAGTTATCTGAAGCTATATCTGTTTGTATAGTTGAAACATTTCATAACGTTCTAAAGAAGGTTTTAATGTTGATAACGTGGAAGAATATGCAATTTTATCATAAGATTTTACATGTTTTCCATCCTTGTGAACAAGAGATAACGCCTTGGGTTTCTCTAGAGTAAAAAAATGATATCGCGATCGTTATCTGGTTTTTAGTCAAATTAAAACAGATTTTACAGTAATTAATTTCAATATTTGATAAATTTCGACGTTATCTTGTAAGTATTTTTACTTTATATTAACTTATCTGTTGCATAATACTAATATGTATAATTCAATCGTCGGGATTAAAACTTTGTTTACTTTACCTATTTTATAGTCGACATCTTTGAAATTTATTTTAAAGATTTTATTCATATAAAAACTTCATACAAACTTATCTTAGTTAAGTTACGGTTAAAAGTAATAATGTTATTACATAGTATGCATAACTTTGGTACGATTAATAGTATCATTGTATAACGTTAGTTTAAACATTTCAATTATAATGCAATAAGAGTAATGCGTAAACAAAGTACGTTATTGTCTTCGTATTAATGTAAACTGCAATGGCTCGTTCGGTATGTACGTTGGTGTGACACTGTATGTCAGTTCGCCGTATCGCCATCGCACCGAATACTTGTGGAACATCTGGAACGGATATTTTACTTTAGTATATATGCGATAAATAATAATCATTTATCAAATTCACTAGCACCGACTCGCTTGTGGAGTTCGTTTTCTTCTAAGGAAACCATGGTAGCATGTAACGTGTTAATGACAGAGTAGCCCGTCTTGAGATGAAATTTGGTCCAGCCAAAAGGATACAAACGAATTGAGAAGCTACTCTTATTGAACTATGTTAAAAAGGAAGGTTTAGTTTGGTTTAAAAACATAAATCAAGGTATAAAGATTTTAAAAAAGTGACGTCCGAGTTTTATTGAACATTATTATGAAACTATTTCTGTTAGAATTAGCAGTTGTTTGAAGTTACCTTAGCCAATAATAATTGTAGTTCCGCTTCCGCGAATCTCTTTCCAATGCACATGCGCCTACCAAAGCCGAAGGGGAGTGAGGCAAAGGGGTGTATTCCGACCTCCTTTTGTTTCTGCCATATTGACTTTACCCGACAATGGTCTGACCCCTGCTTCATATCGCCAGTATTGTATAATGACTCTCTTTTCATTCCTATGTCGTATTTTTCTGTATAGCCGTTTATTTTATCGAAATCTTCTCTTATCCATCTCTCGGGGACGTATTCTTGTGGTGACGGAAAATATCTTTCTTCATTCGATAAAATGTAGTGAGGAAATACGATGTGTGACTGAAAAAAAATGGTCATTTTTAATACAATATACAAAAAAAGAAGGAAAAGTTTCATATCTGATCGATTCAAAATGAATTTAAAGGTGTAATGTCTGTGTGTTTTTTCATTACTTTTTAGGTTCAGTTATCTATACCCAGCTGAAAACCAGCGTAGCTCCCAGCAACCAGCTGAGCTGGCCACATTTTGCTGCGTTGTTTTCTGCACATAGTTTTTATGATTTCAGTATTTTTATGTGGCAATCGTTTATACAAATTTATTTTTAAAGGTTTATTAGAAATAACGTAATACTTACTCCTTTCGGAACTTCGTAACCGGATATTATAGCGTCAGATTGGATGCATCTACCATTTCCTAATATTACTGGTTTTATTCTGTAAAAAATAAAGAAATGATTTTTTATAATCTTAGGCTTTTTTGATGAAAAAGTTAAGGGTGATTCAAACACGCTTTCCCAATACAAGTTGGTTACAAAAACCTAACAAAAATTGTTATTTTGGTGTTTTTTGTGACCAGAAGTTGTATTAAATGAACACATGAGCTCATGAGGAAAATTATTTCTTATAACTAATAATGAAATGTGTGACTAATCCTTTGCCTTTGATTACACAGGTCACTGTTTTTAATTAGTAGGATTATAATTGTTGACTTGTGGCATCATTATTATTGAAAAAAATACATCTTTTTTTATAGTAAAATATCAATAGAGTATTCTTCACTGTCAACACTGAATAAAAACAATAGTATTTGTTTTCTATGAACATTGTAGACTAGCTGTCGCCTGCGACTTCGTCCGCGCGGAAAAAAAACATGATTAGTAACCTGTGTGTTCTTTTAGACTATGTTCTACATACGTGGCAAATTTCATCAAGATAAGTTCAGCCGTTCTGGAGATACCTTCAAATAAACATCCATCTATCCATCTAAAAAATCGCATTTATAATATATTGTTAACAACATTACTAAGAAATAAAGATTTAGTTGTTTTTTTTTCATATTTCAATTCTTAAATAACTCTAAAAAAATATTTTTAAATAAAACTAGATGTTGGCAGAATATATTATGACTAAGAGAATAAAAAAAAATTGCCAGTGTCTAACCTCGTCTGTGGTTTGTCATTTTTTTATTATACATTTAAATCTAAACAAATTTAATTAACCTTTTAACAAATGCAACCAGTTTTGACTTATATTTTCACACGATTACGCATTGAGAATTGCTCCAGCTGGTCTTATTGGAAACGGAGAATGACGAAACCTGTACACTTCTAAGTATAAGTAAGTAATACTATACAAGTTATCAGTTTTGTAATCCCACATTAACCACATTGTAACCAGATCTGACGCTATACTGCTATACATTGTTATAAAAACAAAGAAAAATGATTAAAAATACTTCCATTTTACTGCTCTACGCTTGTACCCAATCTTACTATAATAATATTAAAAATGCGAATGTTTGAATAGATGTAGAACATGGTCTGGAGGAACACGTAGGTTAATTAAGCTATTTTCTAATTCCGCGCGGTTTGAACCGCGATCGAAAGCAAGTTTGATATAAGTTTGCTTATAGTGTGGTTTCCTTTTAAGTGAATTAGTGATTTTTTTGATATTTTATTTAAATTTCCAGTCTCCACCACCAAGTAGGTAAATAATATAGAAGTTGTTTATGTTATTAATAGATATGTTTGTTTAAAAATCAAACGATGTCACTCGTGTATATGACAAGTATCACATAAATCTGTTTTAATTATCGTATTGTGTAAATACTCCACGTTATGTTATTATGTTGAACAATGCAATACTTGAATGAACTACGACATAGGAATTCAAGCTTTTATAATATTGTGTTTAATCTGTCAAAGATTTATATCAAACTATCTGTCAGTTATTACCGTTTCCTTACAGTCTTGATGTCAATATCATTTCTCTCTGCAAACAAATGTATAAAACGTAAAAAAATATCTCACCTTAATGCCTCTTTTATACAAGCTCGTAAATACGGCAATTGATCCAAATCTTTACATGTCATTTCTTTATCTGTATTGAGATTGGCGTCGAGTTCAATTTGCAACCTCTTCTGAACCCTCTCATTGGTAGCCAACAGATAAATAGTACTAGCTGCAGCAGCAGCGGTTGTGTCAACACCAACTAACAATAAATCCAATGCAAGTATTGTGGCAACTTTCCTTCCATGACTTTGGGCAATGTGAGCACAAACGCCCTTATCAGTCAGTCGTTTTAAACATAGAGATCTGAAGGAGTCTAGTGAGTTTATGTATGTCTTGTACGCTGTGGTAGGGTAGAGACGCCACAGAGGAGCGGACAGTTCTAATTCAGGTACGCTATGGAAGAAGCCATGGATACTCTTTATGATATTTTGAGCTTCGGTATCGTTGTCCTGTAAGCATCCCAGTCTTGTACCAAGAGCCCACGCGCCGACCGCTTTAAGAATTAATATTCCATTAATTACATAAACTTAAATACATATGTATAAAATATAGTTGTTACAACTCCAGTCATAAATAATTTAAAGTATCAGTTTCTCCACTTGATGGCAGTTCTAAATTATGTACATTTTAGATTAAACAGAATGATTTATTTGCAACATCATATGATATGCCATCTGGTCTGTCTCGATTCTATTTAGAAATGAATGTGTATAGACACGTTTGTAACTTTATACATAGTAGGGTAATGTGACTTACATTCAAGTGCCCATTTGTAGAGTTCTGTAAGAAAGTCCTTGGGTAGTTCGCGATTTTCATCGAGAATGTTTTCCATTCTGTAAGGAAAAAGAATTTTCCTGTACATCTTTGAAATTAATAATGAACAAAGAAAAAATACACAAGTAAAAAGGTTGATCGGAAATAAGGTACGATGCATTCAAATTATTATGAGATACGTTACACAAATATTGACTATTTTCCAATGTTAGTTTTGTTTGTAGACATTTTAAAGTATTCTTTATAAATAATACATAATGAACAAGTTTGGCTACGGCCGTTCTCTTATATGACAAATATATCTGTTCAAATATTTCATATATTTACAAATATTACTTGTGTTTACTCATAAGTGTTACATGTTAATAGATAAGCTATTATTTAAAAAATAGCGATATGAATATAAATAGAATAAAGATGGAACTCTACCTACGCTAAATGTTATACGTAATTGAACTTAGTAGAACAAAGTATGTATAAGTTTCCGTTAAGTTAGTCCAAACATGGAAGTTTTTCTTTTATGTTATTAATACAGAAGTTTTCAAACACCCTGTAAGTAATACTAGCTCTAAAATTTGCGCTATCTCATTAAATAGGCGGTAAACGCTTAATACGGGATGTGTAGTCAAAACGCAACGTAGCGTTTTCATTGAACGCTCTCTGT